GGCAGCCCAAGAACAGTGCCAAAATTTGGACATTCTGAGAAAATCCACTGATAAGCTACCAGTGAGTGTCTCAGGATCTATCCTAAAACACCACTGTGCACCACCCATCTCTTTTAACCCTTCCAGGCCAGAACATCTCATTCTTTGTTGTTTTGGAAACAGCATCTCTCTTAAACTAGTTTTCTTTTGGCTTTTATAATAAAAGAGTAATTTTAATAATAATATAATAATAAAAGTAATTTTAAAAAAAATATTAAGAATGACGGTGTTGAGCTGGAAGTTCAAGTAGTCAGAAACTCTGCTATACCCTGGTTGCCTGTTAAGTGGGGGCAGTGAACTGGAAAGTGCTCTGATCAAATAATTACTCACCTCAGCAATGACTGTCTTGCTTCTCCTATCCCAAAGTCTCATCCACCCTCCCTAGTGTGCATATCCCTGTAATGAGGGTTTTTTATTTTATTTTATTTTCGCTCATGCTGGAGATTGCCTAGAAACAAACCTGGTGGGGCTCAGCTTTCATCCTGCCTGAGCATTCAGGTCATTTCTGCTCCTCTTTGCAGGGCTACACACACAAGCTTACGCTCTGTATACACAGACACACACACACAGACACACAGACACACAGACACACACACACACACACACACACACACACACACACACACACACACACCCTTAGGAACTGCTTGGCTACCACATTTAGTGCTGACTGAATTCACTTCTAGTTTATTGAAGTGCTTCTGTAGCTTGATCTAGGAAATAGCACCCACCCTCAAGGAGGTGTGACCAGAAGGAGAAGGTGTCATGTTTTGCAGTTACTGCACGCATTTCAAAAGGGCAGTCACTTATTAGCATGATTTCACCCAAGATATCAAAGGTCATGGGCAGAAACAAAGGAATCTGTTCCTGGGATTTTATGCTACTGCAACTCCTCCAAGGAAGGTGCTTTGGACCCACACAGCAATCAGGGACTCTTAAGTCAAGTCTCTCTTTTAAAGAAACCTGTTTTTCATATTAATTCTTTTCTTCCTTGCAGCGCAAAGGATATGAAACATCGGCTGGGCTTCCTGCTGCAGAAGTCTGACTCCTGTGAGCACAGCTCTTCACACAGCAAGAAGGACAAAGTAGTCACTTGCCAGAGGTGAGAGAAATGGCCTTGGTGAGGAGCTATTGGGTATTAACTTTCTGATGGTTGAGATGTTGTATGAGAAGACTGGGTGGGAAGGCAGGCCCTTAGTTGAGCCAGATTTGGGTCAAGATGGCTTCCATTTTCAAGGTGAGGGTACACAATTGTAATCTCAGCACTTGGATTGCTAGGAGGGTCATGAGTTCAAGACCAACCTGAGTCTTATAACAAGATCTCATACACACACATACACACACACACACATACACACACACACACACACACACACACACACACACACACACACACACACATACACACACGAGAGAAAGAGAGAGAGAGAGAGAGAGAGAGAGAGAGAGAGACTCCATTTTCATGGCAATCATAATTAGATTTTAAATCTCTATGTATTTTATGAAAAAAGTATACTAATAAACAATAGATCACATCTCATCTTAGACTTTTTTCACTTCAGTTCTATGCTATGTATTTAAATCATTCTTTTTTTTTCCATAATATCTCCAGGGTGAGCCAAGAAGAAGTCAAGAGATGGGCTGAATCACTGGAAAACCTGATTAACCATGAATGTAAGTAACCATACCTCTGTCTTTCTCTCATCACAAAACAAGCACACACACACACACACACACATACACGAGAGAGGGGGGAGGATGAGGATAGGGTACTCCATATTAGAGAAGTCGTCTCCTACTATGTCAGTTTAGTGGGAACTGCAAAGAAGACCTAGATTGCCTCTGACCTCCAGAGTCAGGTACAAGAATTTTATAGCCAATATGTTTCAGAACTTTGTCAAATTCAATGGAAGGTTTATTTAGGAACCATCTGGAACATCAGCAAGAAAACCATCCCTCTCATGGCATGGACAAAAGGGCAAAAAGAAAGAGTCACATAATGAGGTCTTCTAGCACAGTGAGCTACAGCTCTCATTGGAAACCCACCTTGGCAGTTGATAGCCACACAGGTGCTTCAGAATTACAGTTCCTTGAAAGATGATTCGATCTTGAGTAGAAATGGCTAGATAAAACTGGGGTCTTCGAGATACCAAACATACATTTGGGCTAGCTGACCCCCAGAGAGGGAAGGAAGCGGGAACCTCTTCAGCTCACACCAGGCTTCCTAAGTACCTGGGCTTTACTGAAGTGTTCTATCTAGTAGGTTGGCCACTGTGGTGACTGTGGCTCTTTGTCGTCTGTCACAGGTGGGCTGGCAGCTTTCAAAGCATTCCTGAAGTCAGAATACAGTGAGGAGAATATTGACTTCTGGATCAGCTGTGAGGAGTACAAGAAAATCAAGTCACCTTCTAAGCTAAGCCCCAAGGCCAAGAAGATCTACAATGAGTTCATCTCAGTACAAGCAACAAAAGAGGTAAGTTTCCATGGCAGAGGACTTTCTAGATCTTAGTGAAGACTCCTAGGAGTGGTATTCAGGGTCGGAGATCTTTGGGTCTACCAGTTAAAAGAAAGGATGGGGAAGCTTTTATAATCTGATCAACCTTTTAAGTAAATCTATTAGGAAAAAAGTTAATTTTGTCCATGTGATTTCAATGACTCTCCTCAATAAATACAATCATAAAATCTCCTCAATGTGAAAGAGAATAAAGGAAAATCAAGTGCTCTTCCCACTTAGGAGCAGAATGAACATTTTATACTCTCAAATATGCCAGGGCACACCCAAATGTCCTGGTCTTCATTTCTGGAAGAAATGTAAAGGAAGGGTCCCGGCTATTTCTTGTTGAGTATAAGCCTGCAGCCTCTTCTCTTCAACGGGGGTACTAGATCTAATACAACCTTGGTCTTTGCCTTTCAGGTGAACCTGGATTCTTGCACCAGGGAGGAGACGAGCCGGAACATGTTAGAGCCCACGATAACCTGTTTTGACGAAGCCCAGAAGAAGATATTCAACCTGATGGAAAAGGATTCATACCGCCGCTTCCTGAAGTCTCGATTCTATCTCGATTTGATCAGTCCTTCTAACTGCGGGGCAGAGAAGCAGAAAGCAGCCAAGAGTTCAGCAGACTGTGCCTCCCTAGTCCCTCAGTGTGCCTAGTTCCTCACGCAGAGGCAGAGATCAGAAATGCCAAGACTCTATGCCCTGGGAAATCTGAGGCCAAATATTGATCTGTATTAAGCAATGCTTTACCCACCTTGTAGCTTAGTGTCCATGCCGCCTGCCATGTGCTAGTCACTTCCATGTAAAACTAGACTTAGTTGTGGTATTGGGGTTTTCCATTGGGGTATATGACCCAACTCATTGCAAATTTTCCCAAGTTTCCTTAAGGGTGTCATGTGAGCAAGTCTCCAAATAAGGGCCCTGTAGGTCTGGATGTTCCAAGGTTGCTGGCCGTCCTCCCCCTCCAGCAGTTTGACCTCAAGTTAGTTGGTTGGTCCTACTTCATGTGACGTCACGTGCACATGCAATGTCAGCCAGCAGCACTTCCTACAGACTCTGGAGCTTAGGTGAGACTGATGTGTATATGTGTATATTAAATATATATAATATATGCATATACATTTTGTATATATTGTATCTATTATTCAACTATGTGTGTGAATGTATGTATTTATATACATTTGCACGTGCACACACATTTCTACAAGAGTAGATGGGAAAGACCCTAGGTGCTCAAATTGGAGTATGTACACATGCTTACACGCATGTTCTGATCTCTGGTCCTTCATACTTTGTTTGAACAGGGCAAACTAAATTAACTGCCGTGCAGGCTAAGAGTGGGCCACTAACTTGTGGAAAACAAGTTCTGTAAAACCGTTGGGTCTTGATGGAGAACAATCAGGGGCTTCATGTTTAAGCACTGATGACAGCCTCCACATTGAGCACTAAGCTAAGGGGTGATGACTCCAAAAAATCCGCTGGCTGACACAGAACTGCCTTGCATCAGTGATCACTACTGGCACTTTTAAGTCCCTATGATGATGGCCTTCCCTCCTTTGCCTGGGTGCTGGGTTGGTCTGGAGTTGGGAGATGGGATATTAGAGCTGAATGGAGGAAAGTGGTCCAGACCTTGCCAACTAGCACTCTCATGGGCCACTGGCTATGTGAGGGCAGAGGACCTAGAGATGGTCTATTTCTTTCCTCTCTTGATAAGGTGCTCTTCTAGTCCCACCCCCTGAGAACTTCAGCTGCCAGATGAGCCTCCTTAGTTCACTGTGGTTGGTGGTTCACTTTCAGAACCACAGCTTGGCTCGAAGCTACATGCCCACATCTGTAAAGCTTCGTCACGGGAAAGGTTTTGTTTTATAAGGAGGAAGTAAGTTCTCCCAAACTGAAAAGCCCTCCTTGCTTTCCTGCTTTGAGTTAAGAGCTTGTCCATCCTATCCCAGGCTAGCAGAGACCGACAAAAGGAGAGAGGAGAGAAAAAGAAGGAGAAAAGAGAGAGGACAGGATATCAGTTGGTAGGACTACTGTTTGGAACTTTTCAAGGCACATGAAATACTTGAAAATTTCTCATTTGTGTTATTTATGATGTTGTTTTTACAATGTTTATATTATTGTATTGTTTTATAAACGGAGGTACAGGATGTTACCTGAATTACTAATGAATGCCTAGGAAGTAATTTTCTTCTCATTCTTCTAAAACTACTGCCTTTGAGAGCACACACATACTCATGCACACATTGCACCCACTGTTCCGGTCTACATTACATGCATGAGCACCACTGTGGCTAGTAAGCCAATGTACTGGGCTGCAAAATGAAGACACTGGAGCCGTGTGTATCCAAGTCTCATCGGACTGAAGAAATTGGTTTTCTAATTGTACCCTTCTTGTCTCTCTGACAGTCTTGCTTGTAATGTCCCCACAGCTCCCTAACAGTGTTCTCCACCCCATTTTTTGTTATACACAGTTCCAGATCTTGTTTGTACAACTCTTTGGTCTTGCCCTACCCTGATATTATCATAACTTTGAGATTGTACCTGTACTCACAGACTGCTGTCTCACAAATAGGTCTGGAAAGTCGTTCTGAATGAGAAGTAAATTATTTTATGTAATACATTTTGAGTGTGTTTTCAATTGTATTTCCATTGCTCTTTGATATGGTGAGCCTGCCTGCCGCTGGTCCATGCAGAGACTACTCCTTCCATATGCATGCCTAATTCTATCATGTGCTTTATAGGCCTCAAAGCTGATGCTTCCAATGAAACACACATATCTTAATGATAAGAGTAAATAAATGCTTCCTACAAAACAATCTGCTTGGAAACACATTAATGATCCAGAGAGGCATGTTGTGAGAGACAGAAGAGTATAGGATGCCTTTAGAAAATGACTCACACTGAGTCTTTTATCCCTTCCCTGCCAACTCCAGGAAGGAAAGCAGAACCTACCTTGTTTATGCTCTTGTCCCTTTCTCTGCTCTGCCTGCTTCTGCTCACAGACCCAGGGCTGCTATAGGTTTGGAGACTGTTGACAGATTCCGCGGTCTGTTTATAGGTCTTCAGTGGGCTTTAAAAACAAACAAACAAACAAACAAACAATAACAACAGAGTCTCACTCTGTAGTCTGGGCTGGCTTGAAACACAACTACGAAGCCTAGGTTGGACTCAAACTCACTGAGATCCTCCTGTCTTAACCTCCCGAGTGTTGGGATGACTGACACATGTTTTCTTGCCTGGACTCAGAGGGGTGGAGTTCATCTTCTGAGCAGCTGTCTGCTTTCATCAACTTGTCTGAGTGAGAGAAGGTGGGTCATAGGGAAACGGAGAAGGCCGAGGTGCCTAGAGGTGCCTGGGAGGCAGCTCTCAGCCACAGCTGCCCAATATTATCTTCAGCCTTGGCTACTATCTGAGGAAGAGGTCACAGAATGCTCACCTCTGAAATCAGTGCCTTATCATGTCATAAGACCCCCATTTCCTGGTTCTTCCATTTCCTACTGTAAGAGTTGTGCTCACAGGGCAGTAGGCATAGATGATTGTAGACATTTTTGAGTAATGATCCTTTTAAAGCTCTGGCAGGAACCCTGGATCCTATACTTAGAAAAGTACACAAAGGAACCCAAATTTCTCATAAATATTTATACAAAATGTTTGCAACCCACCCCTCCAGACACCGAATGAGATCTCGCTGTTCTCCTTCTCCTGCACACTTGCTTCTCCCAACGGCCCTGAGGTAGAGATGTCGATCATGAGGATTGACTCTGAAATCTTTCACAGATGAGGTAACCAACACAAAGAAAACGCAGCTTACCACCATGCAAGTGACAGAGCTGGGGTGTGCACGGAGGTATCATGGTCCACAAAGAACAGGCCAGAGACTCACAGCAGCCTCCAAACCGCCACACACAGATGGACTAAAAGCAGCCAACGGTGTCACTTGCAGTCATATCGATCAATAATGGAGCCCAAATCTATTCTCTGTTGCTCCCTTCTTTCTGGCAGTTTCCCAGGCTGTGTGTTCCAGAAGGTGTAGGCACCAGATGGGGGAGTGCTGATGCTTAGTGTGTGGATTCCTGGCTGTTCCAGCATCACATGCTACTCAGATCAATGCTGAGATCTGCCTCTTAAACACTGCACTATGCTGTTGCTATTCATCTGTGTGTGTGGTGGGGAGAAGTTCCAAACTGCAGATTAAGATGCCTCATTCATCTCTATAGCAGTCAAACACACACACACACACACACACACACACACACACACACACACACACACACACAAACTAGACTTTGCTGGGGGATTCTCCCCGCAGTGTGCCTTGCACTGTGTTCCAAAAACTCCTGCTGCCAGTTTTAGAAATCTCAATTTCTAAAAAGATGACAGAAAGATGGAAGAAGGGAAAGGGTGAAGAAGAAAGAAGAGACACAGAAAAACCAACAACTATGTTTCAGCCCAGGCTAAACACATGGGAAAAAAGGAGTCATTCTGGCAAAGGAAGTTCGAGTCAGGTCAACCAACTGACGTGACCAGGCAGCTGCAGAAGCTGGTGGTGTAGCCACTAAAGAGTCCTGCTCATCCCTTCAGAGGCTGAATTCAAACCAAGAATCTGCATAGGTCCTTAAGCACAAGATGATCAGTTACAAAAACAAAACAAAACAAAACAAAAACAATTGTTGTTTTAGTCGATATTGTTTTGCTTCTTTTATGCCTGCATGGAAAATGGAAATGACACGAGAAAAGAAAATACTGGGATTCTTCTTTTCTCTTAGGATATGAGAAAATTGAGTGAGATAGCTTAGTAATCATTTACCTTTAGAACCCAATTATTTTAGATTGTATATGTGAGGGGCTAAAGTAGCCAATACAAAAGACAGTTCTATGACTAATACTGATGAATAATGCTTGGAGAGAGAATAAGTTTTCCAAAGGAAGTCTATAAGTTAATGGTCACACCTTACATGCCTGCTGTGAGTTCTAAGGGCCAAGCAGGTGCTGAATGCATGACATTATCTTGCTTAACCTGGAGGTAGATGATTTCAGTGTCTTCCCATGGCCGATGGGAAAACTTGGACATAGGAAAGCGCTGAGACATGCCCAGTAGCACATACTCAGAAAAGTAGTAGAGATTGAGTGGAGCCCAGTATTCTGCATCCAGAGTTCACGTTTCATCACTCTAGTTGAGAAAGAAGAAAAGAAGAGGGGGAAAGGCAAAAAGAAGCCGTAGGAAGTACAGGAAAAGTCACAGGAAGAAATGGAAATGGAGAGAAGAGGTAGAAGAATAAGACAAATAGAGCAAAGAAGGAAAAGAAAGGGGCCAAGGAAAGGGAAGAAAAGGACAGGAAAAGGAAGAGAATCAAAGGTGTTTGCTGTGAAACAGGACAAATACTCACCACCCATCATCTCCACAGCATAGGCTCCCTGGAGCACTGAGCAGCCACTGGGCTTTGCTCATGTCTTGCCTGAGTTGGGGCAAGTGGGAATTCTCCCCAGATCTGGTCAAAAGTGCATTTTGGAAGCAAGCATTAGATACTAAGGAGAGCTCCAAGAGTCCATTTTCTGGTTCCCCTTTGTTCTTTAAACTTGCCCGATTCGGTACCATTCATAGAGCAGCAAATAGACACACACATAAAATAAAATTTATAAAGGACAAAAGGTACTCTAAGTTCTCAGACTCCCTGGTTTGAATTTACTGCTAGAGGGGTGGGGTGGGGGACATCACACAACAAAGCAAGGTCATTCAGTCAGTAGGAGTTACATGCAGCCAGGACCACAGCTGGAAACAGGCATGCACCCATGGTCCTCCTCACGTTCCTGCCTCCCCTCTGGGAGGAAGTCAGTAGGGTAAAGGGCCCTGTCCCCACCCCAGGAGTTCAGTTAAGGCAACAACATGTGCAAACCAGTAAGCTAGACCGTGGGAACCAGAGAGCAGCAGCCTCCCAAGATTCTGCAAGCCCGACTTTGGGGTCATTGCTGATGAAGTAAAGGAGGCTGTTTTCCCCCCTTCATGGGGGTATTTGTAAGATTCCCAGATTATCCACCAACCCATTTGGGGTTTCTGTAACTGTCTTCTCCCAGGACAGCATATCCCCAAAAGATCTCCTTGATGATAATGAACTGTGGGAAAAGAGCTAGAGTCCCATTGAAGACAAACCATGCATTTTGTCTCCCACCACCGTTTCTAACACTTGCTTTTATCCTCTTCTCCCTGCTAGAAGACTTGGTCTTTTTGATAATTTTGTCTGCTAACTGATATTTTCTTGCCTTGTTGGTGTTGAAGAAGAAAACTGTCAGGAATGTTGGGCAAATTCCAGTCCAAATGTTTCTCTCCCTCCTCTATGTCCTACCTTAGCAATAGCCCTGAGCTTACATGGAGTCACTCCATCTGGAAAGTCCACACACTCAACAGACATCTAACTGTGTAACATTTCTCTGGATGGAACTTCTCAAAGTTCTCTGCCTTCAGGGATGTCCCCTTATCCAGGGCCTTAGAGTGCGCGGCCTTGGTGGTTGACTTAACCTGTCTACTGGCTTTTCTACCTCCAACCCAGGAGCTTCCAGTTCATTTCAAGTAACTGTCATGGTGTTCATAGGTGTACATTTGGTCCACCTTTTCCTGAAAAATTATAGTGCTTCAAACTCTCCTGGCTGATGTTCCAAACTCTATGATACTGAAATCTGTCAAGCTTTCTGGTATTATCTTCTACAATTATCTCTTTGATCCTGCTGTGAAGATTGGCAATTTCTGAAGTGGTATATGACCATTTGCTACTGTTATTTTTCTGGTTAGTGCATCTTCTTCATTTAGCTAGCTCCTACATTCAGCTGAAGACCTGTCCCCAGTTGAGAAACTTCTCCCACTTTCTGGCATGACTTAAATCTCCCCTGGGGATTTCCTTTACTGCTCGGCACGCTTTTAGTCCCAGAACACTGCTCAGCAATCACTAATTTTTGTCTTCCAAATTAGACTGCCAAGTTCTCAAGGCCATGGACCGTGTTTCACTGATTTAATAAGGCCTGCACCAAGTCATGAGCCTTACACTGAGAGGATGACTGCTGGTCGAATGACTAACATCAGTTTACCTATTTCTGGATGCGAGCAGGAAGTGGTCCATCTGGCTCCTCCAACTGCCCTGAGTGCTTACTGGATCCTGAGTATGGTTGTGATGTAATCTTCTCAAAGTCTACTATGTTCCTGTCATTTCTTGTAAAAGACAAGGATGTTTTTCCCAGGCTTGTGATGGGGGAGTGGGAATGAAATAGAGTAGAAAAGATATTGTTGGAGCCACTTACAGAGAAAAGATTTTGCAGAAAGTCACAAGTGTGCTCACAGTATGTTCATGTATCTATTTTACATATGTAATTAAAGTTAGTTCTATTTCATAGACAGAATACATTCTGATTGTGTCCTGTGTGCGCTATCCCTTCAGTACATCTGCGGCGAATTCACTGACATTCATAGTTTATTTTGTATTAGTATCACTTTATCTGCTCTCTTTTAATACATAACACCACCATGATAAAGAGACTGTAAAAACCCATTGCCTTCTTTTCATAGGTGAGAAACAGATGCACAGATAAGCAAATACTTGCTCAGGACTACATATCTCATGAGCAAAAATATCAAGGTTTGACCCCAAGACAGTATGGTCCCACAGCCCAAGTCTATCTCATAAAAGCATGAAGTTCTGTGATTGCTAAATATATATATGCATATATACACACATGTATCACATAACTATATAAATATTTATATATAAACATTTTTTTTAGTTATCTACTCTTCTCTCAATTTTTTTTCCTCTGTAAATTTCTTTTGCTCTCTTGTATTATATTTACACACCCACTTTGGTGCATCTCTTTTGTTTCTGATAGATTTCTGAACTTCCTACCCTGGACTATCTCTTCTAACATCCCATGTTTCCTTCACATCTCCCTTCTTAGTCTATGTAAGAAATTCATGCATTTCCAATGACATTTAAAACTTTTAAAGCTGAACTAAATCCAGATCACAGCTGTACAGGCATTTTCCTAATAGCCAGCTACTTAGCTGTGTCTGTAATTCCTATCATCCCATTAGCATTTGGACACAGTCCACGGAATAATTACCAATGGCAGGTGGGACCGTCCTCACACCTGTCTCCAATTCTGTTGCCTGATTTATGGGTCTTTAGCTCACTGATAATTGAGAAAATAACATGGATACTCAGTGATTGCAGCAGTAAAATGAGTGCTGAAAATAGGTTCGAATGCTTTTTATTTTTGAGAATAAAATAGCACAAGAAATTTGAAGCACACAAGCAATTTCAAGTATAAATAGAAAGGTCCATGTAAAATAAAGGGAAATGAAGGAATTATTGAAAAGAAATCTTCATCTACATGTCTTAGGAATTAATAATAGTTTCCATTTGCTGGGGTTGCCCTGAAGCCTGATATTGGAATTGTACTCTATATATGTTAATTCATCCAATTCTTCCAATATTTCCACTTCATGAATCTATCCAGACTTGAGTGAGGTTGAGTTCTTTGCTCAAAATCTCACAAGCAGTGATGATCAGACTCGGGATTAAAATGAGTTCAGTTTGAGACCCTAGCTCTTTGGTTCATAGACACTCTAATTGTCCCTTCCCTTGAATTACGACACCTCAAATTGCTCCTTCACTAAGGGTGTAACAACACTTGAGGCAATTTCATGTGATGTTAAACTTATCTAGCCTTAGATCAAAACTGATTAGGGGCAAGAGAAAATGCTCACCTAAAGCAACACTTGGGGAAGTCTAATGAAAACAACAGATTCAGAGGCTCCCAACCCCAGAGATTTGGTGTTTTAGGGATTGTCTTACTTGCTCTCTTTCACTGGGATAAAGACCATGACCAAAAGCAACTTGGGGAAAAAGGGTTTCTTTCATCTTGCAGTGTATAGTCAGTCCATCATAGTAGGAAGTCAGGGCAGGAACTCAAGGAAGGAACCTTGGGGCAGGAACTGAAGCAGAGACCATGGAGGAATGCTGTGTACTGCTCGTTCCTCCTGGCTTGCCCACTTTACTTTCTTATATACCCCAGGACCACCTGCCCAGGAATGTTACCACCCACAGTGGTCTGAGCCTTCCTACATCAACCATCAGTCAAGAAAATGCCCAATAGGCTTGCCTACAGGTCAACTTGATGGAGTCATTTTCTCAATGGAAGTTTCATCTTCCCTGATGACCCCGGCTTGTGCCAAATTGACAAAAACAACTAACCAACACCAGAAGTAATTATTTTTTTTTTAAAAAAGGAGGGATACGGTAGGTAGGGAGGGAGAGAGGAAGGGAGGGAGGGAGAAAACAGATTTATGTCAACAGTAAGTTAACAAGGTATCAATTTCAGCTAGGAAGCATTGAGCTAGAGAAGCCAGCTTTGATGCAGGGAGCTGAGCCCATGCAACCACTCGTATAGGTAAGTTGTCATCGCTCTGTATCCTCACTGTTGTCGAAATGAACGTAGGAACAACCCCATCTGGGAGCCGGCTCCAGGAGCTCTGCAGGGAAGACAGTCTGCATGTAAGGGGCTTGAAGGCTGATGGGAAAGGGCCCTTGGCCCACTAACTTACCCTCATAGAGACCAGGAAGCATAACATTTCGGAAATCACCAGGCACATTGCCTGAGTCTGTACTCACAAGAGCCTGTGAAGTGGGTGTTATTGTTCTGGTCTCCATTTAACAAGTGAGAAGAGGAAAATTCACATAGCTAATAAGTGGCAGAGTGTTCAGCCATTTAATTCTATGTTCTTCCCATAACACCATAAAGCTTTCTGAATTATAATGATCATTTCCTGAGTACAAACAGCAAGATAAAGGACATTTGAAAGGGACACTATGTGGCAGTGGATTGAGAGGCTATGGTTGTTGAGGGAGCTCATGTGTCTTTAGGAACCATAGGTCCAAAATTTGGGGCTTAACCTCAGGCATCTTTGAGAGATGTGTTTGAAAATAATGAATGTAGAGTGGAGACAAGCTACTCTCGATATCAACTCTTTCTCAGAAAGACGTTCTGGAATCTCTGAGGATGATGCTAAAGTCTCACGCTGAATATTGAACTGGATTGGGAGGAAGTTAGCTGTCCATATTGCCTTCAGTTAGACTAGTTGTTTTTCATAGAAGAATGTACCCGCTACATTCAATGATGTAAGCCAATGGTATTTCATGTATAGTGTTTGTGTACTAAGTGTTCTACTGATATGGGAATGGTAGGGTGCATCTTTGAGAACCATTGGGCCTTTCTGGGGTCCTGGAAACTCAAAGGCCACCAAAGCAGAGCAAGTGGTTTGGGGTTCTTGTCTCAAGAAACTTGAACAATGAAATCCATGGTCCAGAGAGGGCAAGTTTTATAGTGAAGTTTATTATAGATTCATAGGTTGAAGCCTAAGAGGGAGGAGGAAGGTGATGAGGAGAGAGGGAGAGAAAAAGAAAGAGAGAGAGAGAGAGAGCCGGGCAGTGGTGGTGCACGCCTTTAATCCCAGCACTTGGGAGGCAGAGCCAGGCGGATCTCTGTGAGTTCGAGGCCAGCCTGGTCTACAGAGTGAGTTCCAGGACAGGTACCAAAATTATACAGAGAAACCCTGTCTTTAAAAACCAAAAAAAAAAAAGAAAGAAAGAAAGAAAGAGAGAGAGAGCACACAGTGCATCCATATAGCAAGAAGGGTGCCAGTAAATGGGGTATCATTAAGCTGCAAATGTGGGTCTTTTTTAAAGGGACTCATGGCAGAAACACGCATGTGCCATGGTACACATGTGGAGGTCAAAGTGCAGCTTGCAGGATTCAGTTCTTTCCTTCCACCACACAGTTCCCATGGATTAAACTCAGGTCTAAAGTTTTGGCAACAAGTACCTTTGCCTGCTGAGACCTTTACAGGCCCTTTCTATTAACATTTAATCTAGCACTTGCTACTGTTTCTTTGAAAGATTTGTTCAGGGTATTTGAGCCAACATAGGAGATACTGTATGGTAGACATCAGGTTACACATCACTTTAAGATAATTCATTCTATATAAAACGGTGGATTTTCAGATTGTGTCTTGTACTGGGAGACTCCATTTTGCAAGCAGTGTTTGTCTCTGTTTGAGCGAGAAGGAAGTCTGCAGCCCTTGAGTGGACACAGAAACTGCAGCATCTCTCAGATCTCACCCACTCACTCAGCATGAACTGATCCATGACTTATTTCTGGGAGTAAAAGCTGAGCCACCCTATACGTTTACTGGAGAGAATTGAAACAGTGAGGGCACAAGAGAGATTAAAATCCTATCAGGGAAAGCAGGTCCCAAAACTTACTGGACATGCTCATCTGGATCTCATAAAGTGATGGACACTAACATGATGATGTGATAGCCCCATACCAATCAACAAGCAAAGGACTCCAAGATTATCCCTGGACCATTGGCTTGTCCTGGTTCCCCGTTGTCATTGTAGCCTAATCACCTGCCTACCCTTTCATCTGGTCATCTGTCCGGGCCTGACCTGCTGCTTCTTGCTCCTGACTAGTTGCCTGCTCTAGGCCCAAGCCTTCTACCTTGCAGGTAATCTCTGCTGCTTCACTCTCACACCCCAACTCCAGCAGCAGCTCCCTACCCACACTGGTCTGGCTCATTATCCAGTCAATGCAGACTCTTCCTAAGACCACTTCTGAAACCTCTTGAACACTGCTGTCGCCTCTTTAACTTGTGTATGTGTGTCGTGCAACATGAGAGTTTGTATTAGCAGTTAGGATTGCAGTAAAAGGACATGCATGTGCCTTGGTCAGGTTATTGTGGTGGGCAGGGTTATATGACAAATTGCTGCCACTGAAAGAAACCACTAAATCTTGTGAATTTAATATCATTCAACAAAGTATGCTATTGTGGAAAGGTACAGATGTGTTCATGTACATGTTAGCATAAAGTGTTCATGACAAGGGATATGGATGTAGAAAGTTAAATGAATACAAAGTGAAATGGGGAGATAGGGTCAGACATGTGTGATTATGTCAAAGCTTACCTCTGGGACCTTACAACCAAGAATAACCATCCTTCAAACTGCCCTGGACCACACTTAAAGTTGAACAAACCTCCAACTAATAAAATCAATCACCTACAACAGACAAAGGAAGATAAACCCTTTCAGAGAATTCTTCTCTTGTAATAAAAAGTTGCTGGGCTCCCAAAACAGAGCTCTTGAGCCCTGTGCTCGCTTAAGCCCACTGCCACTGTGTGGAATGCATTCAATACTTTTCTTTTTACTTAAAAAAAAACTATGTATGCATTACTACTACTCTCACTGATTCCTTGTTCAATACCCAATAACCTAGAGGTTGAATCATGGAACACTCCCGAGACACTCTCCAGGAACACAAGCAGCCAGTGTGCTTGCA